TCACTCACCTGACTAATAGTGCTCATGGCTCTCATGTAGCTCTCATTCCGGGAACGAAATTTTGGAGACGTCAGTAGGCCTGCAGGGTCCAGGCTATCCAAGCTCCGATTGATTGAAACTTCACTTACTGCCCTCAAGTAACTGTGGCTCCGGATCTGAAGCTTTGGGGAATGTTCACTAGATATTCTTGAAGAAAATAAGAAAGGAAACAACAGTGAGACGTTGCCTCATATCTATATTTCCTCTGTGATTAACAGTGACAAGACTTTGTAACATGACTGAACACTTAGTTAAAGCAAGCGAATCCCCCAAAAGCTCCCTATAAAAAAAAGAAGCACAAACAAGCAAGTAACCCGTAGCTATGAAAAAAAAACTCAGTAGTGTACAGGAAGTCAGCTGTTCCAGTTCATTTGCTCAAGTCATCTTATTTCAAGTTTGAAGAATAAATCTTCTGCATTACAGTGATTGACAGAGCAGTCCAAAGCAAGGCTTCTTGCTGTAATACCTACTAAAAGCACTCACTTGCAATTATGGCAGTGAGACAAGCAATGCAATAGACATTACTTTGATACAAGGAGATTGCAGTGGTGACCATTTTTAAAAAGTAAATAGGTGGGCTCAATTTTTTTTCTTACGGGGTATAAAAATTAACAAAAATTATTTAAAGCACTGGCTAAAATCCAGTTATGAACCCCGGCCAGAATAAAACTGAATCTACAGAACTTGTCCAAAGTTCCATCGATTGAATAGGCCTACTTTTGTTAAGGTAAACAATCAGATTTATCCCATCATTTTCATTTTTTCAGACAAGAACTCTAAATACTGCCTACTGAGAAGAATGCAGTTGCCAAAAGAAAAAGAAAGGAAGGAATGGAAAAGAAAGGAAAAGAAAGGAAAAAAGTAACAGGAATAAGTTGAATTTAAGCCATTTCAGCTTTAAACAATATCATACAACTACTTCCATAGAAATCCTAAGCGATGAATGGAGAAGCAAAGACTGATAGAAATTGATGGCTGATGGAACCACTGCATACATATACTGTAAAACTCCTGAAAGAGGGCAAAACTGGGCATTTGATGGCATTCATGGAACTCTTCAAATTGTGGGTGTGGCTACAATAGTGGCATGGAGCAAAATGGTGTGGGCCACCTGGCAACAGTTGGGCTTGATTAGAACAATGTAATCAAACCTGACCATTGACGTGGAAATGACTCCTACCAATATCATGAAGTAGCCTAATAAGCAAGCTGCTTCAGGCTATTGGTATATAAATCACTTCCTCTGCTTGGCAGAGGGCAAGGCAAGTGACTTTTTAAAAAACTGCACATAGACAATAGCTGATATACTGCATCAGCTTAAATAAGAGCTTCACGGCGCAGTGGTTAAGCAGCTGCACTGCAGCCAAAACTGTGCTCACGACCTGGGGTTCAAATCCCAGGTAGCTGGCTCAAGGTTGACTCAGCCTTCCATCCTTCCGAGGTCGGTAAAATGAGTACCCAGCTTGCTGGGGAGGCAATGTGTAGCCTGCATAATTAACTTGTTTTCTTTCAGCTTAAAAAAATATTTTCTTTGCCTTCTCGTTAAAGAACAGGTCAAGAAACAGGGTGCACCTGAAGCTACCACCATAGATTCAACTGTGAGTGGCTTCTCAACCAGCCCTTTCAGACAGGGAAAAGAAAAGATTTCAAAAATATTTTTATAACTGGTACAATGCATCAGTAATAGTCCATCTACTTAAAAAAAATCCCCTGCATTCTGCCAAGTACGGGAAGTGATTAATTTGCCAGTATCCTGAAGTGGCTCACCTATAAGCCACTTCATGATATTGGGAATTGAAACTGGAAGGCATGCTTTGGATCTGTTCCAGCGATCATACACATTGGGACTGATCCAAACTAGAATGATTCTACCAGCACCAAAATGTAGAAGCTCTTGACAGGTGCCAGAAAAGTGTGGGTAGGAACATTTTAGGTATGGGCTGGTGTGGTCTAGCAAATACACTGTCTGACTGCTATCTTTAAGAATACACCACCCCTCCCCTTCCCACTTAAGTTCTGTAATGTGAAGCAAGTAGAGATTAGTGCATGATACAAACATTCAAGATCTGTTTTATGAGAAGAAATTGAAGTAGCATTACATGCTGAAGGAAATACCATTTCACTTCCTCCCACCCTTTATCCTTGGCTCCCTCACTGGGTGTTTTTAAGACCTGGCTCTGTAGACTGGCTTTTCCTCCTGCCATCACCAGATTATTTTTCCCATCTTGAACTATATTATTACTGTTGTTTTTATTTTATTGTATTGTTTTTACTTTTATCTATTATTGTTAACTGCCCAGAGTAGACTTAGGTCCAGATGGGCTGGGTAGAAGCAAACAAACAAACAAAAACATTAAAAAGATCAACTTGAATTGAAGTAGTGATGGGGGCTATGAAGTGTCTATGCGTGTATGTAAACATGTCGTTTTTATTGTTTTGCTCCAAGCATGGACATGTCCAAGGCTAATGTTTTCAGATTATATTTCCAGTTCTACATGGAAATAAATTCTGTGGAAATCAGGACCAAAACTTTGTGATTACAACTTGAGGCAGACCATAGCAGAAGCATGTGGAAGTATCTCAGCTGTACATATAAAGTACATGGCAATTTAACTTAAGCCTTTGTCTTCAATTACCACGAGTTAAGTATATAATTTTGTGGTGTTAGTTGGTGTATTGGAAATGGCAGACCCTCCAGTCCTCATTTATTTATGAAATTCATTGGGTCACCTCTCTGGTCAATCAATTTTTCTCATCCAGTTTTACCTTGCCAGGTTGCTGAAGAAGAGCTGCCATGAGCTGGAGCACAAGTGGGGTCATAAATGTAACTAAATAATAAAGGAATGTTAACATTAAGATAATGAACAAGTGTTTCAGGGGCACCATTCCAAGAAGTGTTGGCAGAAATTCATGGCTTTTATGAGATTTCTGCTTTTCCATTGTTGCTTTAAAATAAGTGATAAATAATATCTGAAGAATTTATATTTTTTCAAAATGTGCCTTGTTTTTTTCTTTCCAAAATCTACTCTGCAAATGCATGCCTTACAGAACATTTCCATATGAATTATTGGCATGGCTGTTGCAAAATATTTACACTCCTGAATAAGAATAACCTCTGCAGTCAATGTATGCTACACTCACACCAAATGGCTCAATTTGTGCAATGCTTATTTGCTACCTCATAACAGTAATGAGTTACCCATAGCGGAAAGTGTGTTCCTCTGATGGCCTTAATATTTCTAGCCTGTGAAATATATTCAGCGTGCAATATGTATCATATGGTAATGGGATACTGTTATCATCATAATCATCATTCTCCCTGATATTCCTCTATTCCTCATGGGAGCCCAGAGCAGCTAACAAGTCAATAGACAGGTTAATAAACAATTTTGATTTTACTGTGTTATTAAGTGGTGGAAAGAGTAATTAAACTCTAAATGGCAAATCAAGAAGTAGTGGGGGTTATTCTGATTACATACATAAAATGTCAATTTCATAGCAACGGTGCTGCCAATAGCAGTGAGTAACCTTGCATATTGAAAGGCCATATTAAGGAGTACAAGAAGGAAACTCAGTGATTGTTGAGTATATAAACATTTCTGGAGGTAAATACTGTTGAAATTTTGATATGAAAATGTATTAAATACAGTACTAATGTTGAATAAAGGTAAAGGTTCCCCTTGACAATTTTTGTCCAGTCATGTTCGACTCTAGGGGGCGGTGCTCATCCAGGCCATAGAGCCAGTGTCTGTCCGAAGACAATTTTCCGTGGTCACATGGCCAGTGCGACTTAGACACGGAATGCTGTTACCTTCCCGCCGTAGTGGTCCCTATTTATCTACTTGCATTTGCATGCTTTCGAACCGCTAGGTTGGCGGGAGCTGGGACAAGCGACGGAAGCTCACTCCGTCACGTGGATTCGATCTTACAACTGCTTGGTCTTTTGACCCTGCAGCACAGGCTTCTGCAGTTTAGCCCGCAGCGCCACCATGTCCCTTTCACTAACATTGAATAGTTAAATGTAAAATGGCTGATTTTACCTGAATCACTGTACTGATTGTATTCAGGTGTGGGTATCAAGGATTAAGACTTAATGTTGTACAGCTGTGTACATGATGAAACTTTGTGTAGCAGAAAATGAAGTAATGTATTTTCTGATTGTCACAGAACTGTACATAATCCATGTGTAAAATGAACATCTTTATCTACTGTAAGTCAGATCACTTTTTCCTATGCCGTGTGTTGCTTCGTGTCATGTTATGCTGTCAGAGGAATGTCTATTCTCTATCTATATAGTGGTGCCTCAACTTACAACCACAACGCATTCCAGAAGATGGACATAACTTGAAATGGTTGTAAGTCGAAGCACCATTTCCCATAGGAATGCATTGGAACGTGATTAATCCATTCCAGAAGAAAAAATATACACAAAAAAATAAAATAAAATAAAACACTGCAAGCCCCATAGAAATGTGCTGGGGCTGAAAAACAAACACACCAAAACACACACACACAAAACCACTGCAAGCCCCATAGGAACATGTTGGGGCTGGAATTTTTTTTACCAAAACCCCCCAAAAACCCCAATGCAAGCCCCATCGGAACGCATCGGAGCCAGGGAAAAAATTACCTAAACAAAAAACACAGCCAACCCCACTGGAACACGATGGGGCTGGGAAAACACACACAAAAACAACACCCCCCACACACAGCCGTCCCCCTCGGAACGTGATGGGGCTGGGAAAAAACACACAAAACAACCCCCCCCCACACACACACAGCCAGCCCCAACAAAATGCCATGGGGATGGGGGGGAAAAGACACACACCCCACACACAGCCAGCCCGAACGCGATTGGGCTGGGGGGAAAAACACACCAAAACACAAAGAACATCACAGCACAGAAACATAACCCCCCAACCCAAACCCATTCTGCAAAACAAAGTAAATGTACTTACTCAGGAGCAGAAAGCAGATCCAGGCAGCCCGAAGCCTCCTCCGACGCACTCACTGTAACCATTGGGGTGAAAGAGCTACAAAGAAACAGTCCTCGCCTACCAGCGGTTAGCAAATTTGAATTCCCCACCTTTTTTCCCTGCCTTTTTCTGGCTGCAACTCGAAGCAAATTTTTGTGGCCAGAGCTGGTC